GCCACAAAAGAACACTTCAATCTGATGCTGAAGGTGATAACAGATTAAACAGACTAACTGTTCTCTCGCCGCTTATAAACTGAAGTTTAAAAGAAAAAGCAGGCTTTTAATTCTCCCGATACCTCCGAGCCTCAGTGACTAAATAAGACTTTACCATACGGTGGATGATGACAATAATAATTCCCTGTGGAGCAGCAGTCTCGACCTAATGACTTTCTTCCATGCCACTGTGGACTGTAAAGTAGGATTAGGGTCATCCTGGTGGAATACAGTGCAGGATTTCTGTCAAGTAAAAGGTAAATGGATTTTGCTCAAACTTATTCTCAGCAAAGCTTCTGGAAACACAATTGTCTCAATCACACGTCACACAGATGGTGTATACTGTGTGCATGAGGCACGAAAGATCCTCTATAGCCTGTTTGAATGACCTGCAACATATGAACTCTATATGTATGTAGATAATGATTTTAAAGCCTCTCTTGATGCACCAGCACATTATTAGCGTCATGGTTGTTAATCATTTGGGAAGGATCCCAAAGGTGAGTCACAGGAAGATTAAAATGGTTCCTCAAACGGTTCTGTAGAAATGGAGTATCTGGATACGAACATTTTTGGAGAGTATGATTTTGTTTTGGGGTGTGGGGGTAATTTTTTGCCTATACTGGTTAAGAGGCAGACAGGAAATGGGAAGAAAAAGGGGTATGACATGCTGGCTGGAATTGCCCCAGCGATGGTTGCAACAATGCGCTCTAACAATCACTTCTATGGGTTACCGCTCTATACTCACCAAAGTACTGTGATGGCTGATCTGGAAATACATTGATGTCGCTACAACAAGAACCACTTCGGATTCAGTTTATCTGGAGTGTCTGCACCACTTTATGTGAAGGTAAAACTGAAAAGAAGTGCAGCTGAAATGTTGGTAATACAGAAAAATCAGACAGTGATACTGTGTGTGAAGTCTTGCACTGACAGAACCTTTCTCTCAGTCATTGGCAAACATGTTCAGAACTGGAAGTAGAAGTAAAAGACAAGATGTCAAAACTTTGTAGTTACTGAGAGCTTCATAAAATCACAATAAGTCTGCTCCCATAACATTTTTCTATACAAATGTTGCCTTTAACTGACAACTTGATATCCTCAGACCTGAATGCCTGAGAGTCTTCGCCGATTGATGGAATAAATTCATTGATTTGAATTGATATTAATTTGCTAAATCCTGACAATGTTCCACTTAAAACCAAAAAGAAGGCTCAGAAAGATTAATAGAACAGATCAGACTGTAATGAAGGTTTCAGCTCTCACAGTCCAGATGTTGACGCGAGTTAAAAGTATTTTCTCTTGTACTACCTGTTCTGCGAGTGTGGTTCAATAGTTATATTATTTTCAGATGAGGGAGTAGCAGGTGGCCAGTCTGATCAATGCAGGAGCTGGGCCGAGAGACAGAGAAACCCTCGGTGACCGCGGTCTGGGGTCGACTTCACAATCAACCTGACACATCAAATATTCAGCAGCAGCTCGGTGACACTCTGAAACCGCTCGGAGACAGAGGGAACGCCACAGACATAATCACAAATCACCAGGAGCTGTGTGTGTATGTGTGTTCCACACTTAACACTGGCACTTATCCCCGACAGATTATAGCTCCACACATCAAATATTAAAGCGGCGGTGTGAATTATTGAGCCCAAT